ATATCTTTCTATTTATTTGTGTGTTCTTCAAATTATTTCATCAACATTTTATAATTTTTGGTGTCTACTTCTTTCACTTCCTTGGTTAAATTTTTTCCTAAGTATTTTTTTTTTTTTGGTAGCTATACTAAATGGGATTATTCTCTTGATTTCTTTTTCAGATAGTTCATTGTTAGTATATAGAAATGTTACCGATGTTTGTATATTGATTTTGTATCCACAACTTTACTGTATTTATTACTTCTAACAGTTTTTTAGTGGAAACATTAGGGTTTTCTGTAAGTGTGAGTTGATCATGTCATTAGCAAACAGTGACAATTTCACTTCTTCTTTTTCTATTTAGATGCCTTTTATTTCTTTCTCCTGGCTAATTAGTGTGTCAGGGACCTCTAGTATTATGTTGAATAGAAGTGTTGAGAGTGTGCTTCCCTGTCTTGTTCCAGATATTCAAGGAAAAGCTTTAATTTTTTACCACGCAGTGTAACAGTTGTTGGTCTTTCATATATATGGCTTTCTTGTGTTGAAGTGCATTCCTTCTGTACCTAGGTTGGTGAGAACTTTTTCATAATGAAAGCATGTTGAATTTTGTCCAGTGTATTTTCTGCATCTAATGAGATGATCGTATGGTTTCTGTCCTTTATTTTGTTAATGTGAGTTATTGATTTGTATATGTTGGACCGTTCTTGGATCCCAGGGATAAGTCCCACTTGATCATGGTGAATGATCCTTTTAATGTGTAGCTGAATGCTAGTATTTTGTTGAGGATTTTTGTGTGTATGTTCACCCCAAATATTGGCCTATAATTTTCTTATAATATCCTCATATGGCTTTGGTGTCAGAGTGGCACTGGCCTCATTAAGAAGAGTTTGGAAGTATTCCCTCCTCTTCCACATTTTTGAAATAGTTTGAGAAGGATTGTTATTTGTTCTTCTTCCCTCCTAGAACTGCTTTTGTTAAATTTATAATTTGTGTAAAGTGACACAAATTACAGTTGTTTAAGTGAATCTTTTACTACATACATTAACTAGAAGGCAACATAGGATTTTGTGTAGTAGTACACATGGATTACTTTGTTTTGTAAATTTTATTACGCATTACGTAACAAATCTAAGTTCACATAAGTTTATTCTTCTTAGTTCCCCTCTTGGACAGCTTGCCAGAGACCTGGAACTGGTGTTATTCACCTTTGTATTCCTGTTTCCTTAGGTGGACAAATTATTGTCCTTCATTAAATGCTTATCAAATTGAATTTCAGGTTGTTAAACACAGTGAAGTTCGTAAAAACCATGCTTGTTCATATTCTTCAAAATTATAGATTAATGAGTACTCATTGGTCAAATTTGTGAATAATTTATTTAAAAAGAAATCACTAATGTTTGGACTTCTATAGAGGAAATACAAAGAGCTTTGAGCTATATTCAAATTGTGTCTCCATAGTTTGTTAAGAGTTTGAAGGATGTGGTCTCATGAAACTATCTTACTCATGAGCTGTTAGACTGAACAACAAAAATTAGAATTACTTTCAATTACAGAAATTAAAATACTTTTTTCAGAAAACCTGTTATAAAAACTTTTTCTAATTTGATGGTTTTATAATTTCCAGGATTAAGCTATACCTTTTTTGTTTGTTTTTCTCAAGTATTAAGTATTTTGACAGTCTTTATAAGATAGATGATATTTTATATATCATTGAGTCTTTTAACAATTGAGCATTTTTATGAGTTATTGCTGTATTTAAAATGGATAGGTAGGTGTATTAGTCCATTTTCACGCTACCGATAAAGACATACCCAAGACTGGGTAATTTATAAAGAAAAATGGACTCACAGTTCCGCATGGCTGGGAAGGCCTCACAATCATGGCAGACGGCGAAAGGCATGTCTTCCATGGCAATAGACAAGAGAGAAAATGAGAATCAAGTGAAAGGGGAAACCTCTTACAAAAACCATCAGATCTTGTAAGACTTACTCACTATCACAAGAACAGTGTGGGGGAAGCCGCCCCCATGATTCAGCTGTCTCCACAGGGTCCCGCCCACAACACATGGGAATTATGGGAGCTACAATTCAAGATGAGACTTGGGTGGGGGCACAGCCAAACCAGATCAGTAGGGCTCTGGCTGGCTCAAAAATATGGCCATGGCCCTGCAACCCAGCCTGCCATGTCCCTGGCCTGGTTGTCCCTTGGGCTTCCTGGGGTCCTTGAAGGGGCAAGGATCTGGAGTTAGGAGGAGGATGGTGTCTGGACACACACACTGGAGAAATAATGCTTATAATTATTTACATTTGCCCATCACCTGTGCTCCACCCTGTTAATCAGTCTTTTTTTTTTTTTTTTTTTGCAATGTTTAGAACATTTTATTAAAGTACAAAATTGTTGGAATTTAGCTAATAGAAAAGCATAGTAAATATTTACAAAAACACTGATAACATCACTCAAGTCACACACATGTAACAATGTAGACAGGTCTTCACAAAGTTTACAAATTGAAATTATGGAGATTTCCCAAAATAACTCTAATAGCTCATTGCTGAGCATGGTTATCAGTATAACATTTAAGATCTTGGAGCAAATGTTGTCCCCAAGTCTTCTGCAATCCAGTGCCCCTTAAAATTGGTTTCTCTCTTTGGGAAATTCAGACTGAGAGGCAGCCAGAGGGGACAGGTCAAGAGCTGAAATAATCACCTAACTAGTCTAATTTTCTTCATTCTATTGTCTGTGTCAAGTTACAGACACAGCCAAACTGTTTTCCTTCAGCCTCTGATGATTTGAGAAGATGAAGAACGTGAGCAATTTCTCATTGCTTAAAGAAAAACTTAGCACGTAAGAGGCTGAGTGTAGAGTATCTACACTAGAACCATAAAGTTCTGTCTGATGGTAAATTATGTATAAAACTAAGATAAAACAGAATTACGCTCTATCTCGTATTTACTGAAAGTAGGAAAGGAGGAAGAGTGACACTTTTCAATCAAACTGCTCTAGTTTTAGCACAGTGGATGGTTAATAAACACACTGCTTTATGCTGAAGTGACCAGATAACTATTTCTACAGTTCAGAATAACTTAAAATCAGGTTTTAAAGACCAAAGAAAGCAGACTCAAAACACCGACAAAGCAGAGAAGAAAACAGTGCCCGTGAGATGGTCACTATTTAGACAGTATTATAAAAAGCTAAAGAACACTTGGGCTTTACTTCACTTTGATGGTCTTGTACTAAAAACACCTTCCCCAAACTAAATTCAGAGGGGAGGAAGTTAAGAGCTTCAGGTAACTGTAAAACCCGTCTTGGGCTCAGTAAGATAATTACTTAAAATAATCACCTCACATTTTAAAACAGATCATCTTCATCTGACTCTTCCAGGTACTTCATAGGTTTCTTTGCCCGCACAGATTTTGCCCGAGAAGCCACAGCTGAGTCAAAGTCCATATGGCAGTCATCACTCTCCCCCCTGGATTTCTTGCTTGTGACTGCTTTCGAAACAGTTTTCTCAAAATTAGAGTCAGGATCATCAGAAGTGGATGGCTTCCTTTTGCGGCGAATCTTGGTTTTGGCAGGATCAGGCTTTTGAGAGATACCAGAATTCAAGGCTGGTTCCCTTTTAGTTCCTTTAGGGGCAGCCCTTTTTTTGGCACCAGTAGTGGAGGTGGAAGACTGACTTTTTGCTGCTGTCTTCTTCACTGTCACATTCTTTTTAGGAACTGTGTTTGTAATTTCAGTTTCATTTGGGAAATGTGTAGCAGGAGGGCTTGAAGACAGTGGTACACTGTCCTTAGCATCATCAGCTTCAAGGTCTGACATAGCACTTTTCTGTGGTTTCAGATCTTTGTTAGTAAGTTTTGGGGAAGTTTTGGTCTTAGGTGGACTAGCATCTGATACAGCTATCCTAGAAAGCGGTTTCTCCTGTCTTCTCGAATTTACCAGGGAACTGAGGCCCAGAGAGGCCTAGCAGCTCTCCCAAGGCTGTCCAGCTGGTAAGAGGCAAAGCTGGAATTTTCACTTTGGCCCAATTCCATGGTCTTTGACATAGCATCAGAGACAGACTCAGTTTACCTCTTAGAAGAGAAGAGCTAATGGTGTTTATCTCTGTTAGACCCCTGGGAGCCAGAGCCCTGGAAAAAGCCAATTCTTGCTGTTGAATGTCACCTCTTCCAGGCAGCCTCTTCTGATGCTTCTACCCTCCAGGCTGGGTTAGGTCTGAACTTGGTTGAAAATGTCTGTTTAAAACATACCTGCCGTGCATAGACTTATTCATGTAGTGGTTCCAGCCTGGCCTAGAGTAGGCATTCGATAAATGTTTGTGAAATGTGAATATGTGATTCATTAAAAGGATAAATAAAAGAAAATAAAATTAATAAGAAGTATTAGAATTTTGACTTGTTCATAATTTAAAAATACACAGATCTGATAAATGTTTATTTCTAACTGAAGTGCTCTTGATTCAGTTCTCGGTGTCAGTGTAATAATATTAATATAGTGTAATAACAGCAGCTTTTTATTACATAGTTTTATCATTTAATCTCATAATCTCTAAGGTATTTCCTTTTTTTTAATAGAATAGGAAATTGAAACTCAGAGAAATGACTTACTTTAGAGCACACAGTTAAGTAGCTACAGAGGCAAATCTTGAATCTAGGGTTTATGATTCCAAGTTAGAAAAATCTTTCTTCGTATCATGCAGCATCTGTCACTAATACTGTTCACTATAGTTTGGATGTTTTGATAGAAGTAGAAATAGTTTTTGTGCTCAGTTTTCGTAGTGAATGCAACACAGACAATTAAAAATAATAAAAACGTCAATATCTGCTTATTTTATCAGCAAGTGCTCAATGACATTCCATAATACAATAGAACAATGCAGAAATGCAAATATAATCAATTGTCTAAAAATTTAATATGTTTTTAATGAATGTTTCTATCATTCATTTAATTTTGAGTTCAGTATAAACAGTGAAATAAAAACATAAAAACTTGAATGTAGATACATTTTTTTTCTTTCCCAGACAGATATTGATTATGTACATGGTGTTGTAGCCAACCTGGAGAAAGAGTAAGTTCTTCTTAATTATAAACATAAGAATATTTTGGTTACTGTTATCTCTTGGGTTTCTTGCTAAAAGAAAATGCCTTCCCTGATAGTTCATTTCTCTGTGGAGTTCATTGTTTACTAGATCACCTCTGATTGGTATTTTATATTGTCATAAAGTAGGTGCATGTGTATCCAGTTATGTGATGGGATAAATTGGTGTATTTCATTATAGAAAAGACTTGAATGACCTATGTATGTAACACTATTAAATAACAGTCTTTAATCTTGAAGACAATGAATACACAGAGAGTCATATGAGATTAAATCTTTCACACTGTATCTACCAGGCAAGATTTTTCTGCTCTCAGGGTAGATATTTATGTAGTAATTTCAGACCTCAATTTTAAACTATGTCTTAATCTGTTCTCTTCTGCAAAGATTGAGTAGCAGTTCACTATGAGCAAGGCACATGGTAGGTAACAGAGGGGAAGCTTAGTAAGTTTCAGATATTATTTTTTATAATATTGCCTTAATAGTTTTAATAATGTAATAAAATTAATCTTGCTATGAATTTCTTCATTAAATTGTATCTGTTTTTTGACCCTAAAAGACATACCTTCTACTTAAAAAGAAAAGACCAAAAAGAAGCAACAATCATTTGCTAACCCTACATTTAATATAATGTGACTCCTTGTCCATCAAAATGTTAAAATTGAATATTTAAAAAAATTATACGTAGTTCAGGATTAAATTGCTATTTGTTTGATTTTTCTGAAGTGCTGAGTTTCTTGGAAGTCCTCATAGAAACACAATTTGGCGTAGACTTCTTTTTTTTTTTTTTTTTTTGAGACGGAGTCTCGCTCTGTCGCCCAGGCTGGAGTGCAGTGGCCGGATCTCAGCTCACTGCAAGTGGCGTAGACTTCTTAAGTAAAGGAACAGAGCAGTGATGATTGGCCCCCTTTCCCACTGACCTCAGGGGCAAGTCTGTGGGCTTATGCAAGGATTCTGTTGATTTACATCTTCCTCGGTGTGTAGAAAACCAAGCTCAGACAAAAAGCACAGTTAAACACTAAGAACATTTGTGCAAAGGCAGGCAGTCGCACTAGCATTTTGTGGAGATTTGCAAAAATGAATAAAGGGAGAATGCAAATGCAAAATAAATTACCATTCGGTCAGTACAGACTAATTAAAAAACTTTAGAAGGGGTTCTGAACCTCAGCGCAGTGAACATTTTGGGCCAGATGACTTTTTGTTGTGGGGGCTGCCCTGTGCATTGTAGAATGTGGGACAGGATCCCTAATGTCCACCCACCAGGCGTCAGTAGTGCTGATCACAGCTGTGGCAACCAGAACGTCTTCAGACATTGCTAAATGTCCTCCTAGAGGGACAGAGTCACCCCCAGTTGAGAAACGCTGGTTGAGAATGACATGTGGTCTCTAACCCACAAGCAAAGCTTCTCGAAGATGTCAGAACTTTGGTTTTTGCATAAATATATGTATTTAAAGATACATACTTACTTGTTTTTCTTCAATTTTCTATTTTCTGTGAGACCTTGATTTGTTTTTTTAATTCAGATGCATTTTAGGAATGTTAATGCCTGCAGTTGGCTTAGGATTTCTATGCTACTTTAATAAGAGCAGTATTTTACAGTTTTTAAAGCATTACTTTAAAAAAAAAAACTTTCGCTATTAGAAAAAACTGTATTTTCTGTAAAGGAAATCAGTGGTGCGATGCTCCATTGAACACCTTGTGGCCATAACATTATACGTTGCTACAAATGATTACTGATGTGTTTTATGTTAAACACAGTGTATTGAGCTTTGAGATAAATAAAATCCTACAGAACTTAAGTAACCCAGCTAACCTTTCTCATAATAGATTTTCTAAAGAAATCAGTTCTGGCTTGGTGGAAGTCATATCACCCCCTGAAAGCTACTATCCAGACTTGACAAACCTAAAGGAGACATTTGGAGACTCCAAAGAAAGAGTAAGGTGAGCGTGTGCCATTTAAAACCTTCCGCACTTGTGAGCGTAAACATCTAATACATGTAGTTTTTATTTATCGAAGCTGAAAACATTTTAGAGGTGAATTTGGTAAAATATTCTAGGTCAGTCTCGTTAAGTCCAGGACACTTGTGAAATAATGTGGAGTTTTCTTAGCATATGTAAAAACTTCACATCAGCTTTTATTTTACTGTGTTTTCTTAAACTAGCTTTTAGATCCACTTCTCTTATTTAACTTTCATCAGAGTGTTTCTGTAGGCCACCAGGAATTCCGTGACAGGGTTTAATACTGTAAATTTAAATATGAATTTTTTTTTTTTTTTTTTTGAGACGGAGTCTTGCTCTGTCACCCAGGCTGGAGTGCAGTGGCCGGATCTCAGCTCACTGCAAGCTCCGCCTCCCGGGTTTACGTCATTCTCCTGCCTCAGCCTCCCCAGTAGCTGGGACTACAGGCGCCCGCCACCTCGCCCGGCTAGTTTTTTTTTTTTTGTATTTTTCAGTAGAGACGGGGTTCCACCGTGTTAGCCGGGATCGTCTCTCGATCTCCTGACCTCGTGATCTGCCCGTCTTGGCCTCCCAAAGTGCTGGGATTACAGGCTTGAGCCACCGCGCCCGGCCTAAATATGAATTTTTTAAACATTCAGTACTTATTTATGAACTTTTATCTGTGTGCAAACAGTCCTAGGCACTAGAGCAGGGATCCTAAAAGTGCAATTTTTGAAGCACTTGTTTGATGAAACATGAAGATATTACTGAAAAAAGGGTCTGTGGTCAAGGAGGTTTGGAAAAAATATGTATTAAGAAATTTTTTTCCAATAAATGTCTTTACTGCTGGATATTTTCGTGCCTCTTATGAACTAATATGTTTCTAGAAGGGGAATATGTATACAGACTTACTTGATAATTAGACTCCTTTTTTCCTCAGGACAGCTTGAGGATTAGTGTTCTTGGGAATATATTTTGATAAAGGCTTCATTAAGAGGAAAGTGAATTTTCTTTGACTCTTTGTGCTGAGTGAGTGTGTGTGTGTGTGTGTGTGTGTGTACATATACATAGATGACATATAGACACTTGAGGTTTATACATTTAATCTTATTTTACTAAGTTTGAGTCTGATTCCTAACTTACTTTTTGCAAATGTTTATTTCAGATGGAGAACAAAGCAAAACCTAGATTACTGTTTTCTAATGATGTATGCTCAAGAAAAGGGCATATATTACATTCAGGTAAGTGGGGTTTTTCCTTTAATGTTTTTCACACTTGTGAAGAAAAAGTGTTATCAAGGGTATGTTTTCATTAAAACAGGAAGTTTTGAAAGTGCAAACCCTCTGAGATCTGACAAATCATAACTATCTCAGAGCAGAGGGGTCTCCATGGTAACCAAGCATGTGGGCTCTGCCGTTTCTCCACTGAGTAGGGACGCCTTACCTTTTTCCTGTTTTTCTCCCATTCCCCCATCTTCTCTCCCCTCTTCCCTCTCTTCGCTGTCTAGAAGAACTAAGATGTCATTATGTGGCAGATTTTAAAGAGGAATTTTCTTACAATTTTTCTTTAGTGGGCTTACAATGAAATAATTTTTTTTTGTAGGCCACAATACTGTTACCACTATTTTGAAGATAATTGACATTTAATTCTAACAGTCCAATTTTTTTAGCAGCACAACAGTTCAGCTTTTAGCAAGAACACAATATGTCGTGGGATTGTAGACATGAGCTGCTGCGCCTGACATGTAGCATGTTTTAAAATTAGGAAGTCTGAGACCTCCAACTGTGTTCTCTTTTTTTCAAGACTATTTTGACTGTTTAGGGTCACTTGAGACTCCTTGAGATTCCATGTAAATTTTAGGATAATTTTTTTTCTATTTCTGTAAAAAATGCCTTGGGGATTTTGGTAGGGATTGTATTGAATCTATGGATTGCTTTAGCTAGTGTGGACATTTTAATATTATTAAGTCTCCCAATACATGAGCACAGGATGTCTTTCCATTTATTTGTATCTTCTTTGATTTCTTTTAGAAATGTTTTGTAGAAAAATTTTCCACCTCCCCAGTTATGTTTATTCCTAAGTATTTGATCTTTTTTAATACTATGGTAAATAGGGTTGTTTTCTTGATTTTTTTTTTTTTTTTGGACTGGTCATTGTTAGTATACAAAAATACAACTATTTTTGTGTGTTGACTTTGAATCCTGAAACTTTGCTGAAATCATTTATTATTTGTAGTTTTTGGTGGATTCTTCAGTTTTTTCTACATATAAGATCATTTCATCTGCAAATAATGATAATTTTACTTCTTCTTTTCCAGTTTGGGTACCTTTTACTTTTTTGCTTGTTTAATAGCTCTGGTTAGGATTTCCAGCACTATGTTGACTAGTAGTGGTGAAAGTGGGACTCCCTGCCTTGCTCCTAATCTTAGAGGGAAAGCTTTCAGTTGTTTGCTGCCAAGTGTGATATTACCGATGGGTTTTTCATATATTACCTTTATTTTGTTGAAGAAGTTTTTTTTTTCTATTTCTAGTTTGTCATATTTTTTTAATCAAGAAAGTGTCTTGAATTTTGTCACCTGCTTTTCCATATCAATTGAGATGATCATGTGTTTTTTCCTCCATTTTCTTAATGTAGTATATATTACACTAATTGATTTTTGTGTGTTGAACGATCCCTGTATTGCAGGTATAAATCCCACTTGGTTATGGTATACCTAATTCTTTTAATGTGCAGTTGAATTCCATTTGCTAGTGTTCTGCTGAGGATTTTTGCATCAGGGATATTGGTCTGTCGTTTTCTTGTGTCTTTGATTTTGGTGTCAGAGAAATGCTGGCCTCATAGAACGTGTTTGAAAAGTGTTTCCTCTGTTTCAGTTCTTTGGAAGAGAGCTGTTTGAGGGGGACTGATGTTCATTCTCCTTTAAGTATTAAGCGGAATTCTCCAGTGAAGTCCTCTGGTCCTGGGCTTTTCTTTGCTGAGAGGTTTCTGATTACTGCTTTAATCCCCTTAGTTCTTATAAGTGTGTTCAAAGTTTTTATTTCTCCATAATTCACCGTGGAAAGTTGTATGTTTTTACAGGTTTATCCATTTCTTGTAGATTATCCAATTTGTTTGCACATAATTGTTCCTAGGAGTCACTTGTAATTCTTCTATTTCTGTGATATCAGTTGTTATGTTCCCTCTTTCATTTCTACTTTTAGTTATTTGAATCTTCTTTCTTTTTTTCTTAGCTAATCTAGCTAAGGGTTTATTCATTTTATTGATCTTTTCAAAAACCAACTCTAGGTTTCTTTGTTTTTTTTCTGCTTTTTTTTCTATTTATCTGATCTAATCTTTATTTTTTTGTCTTCCTTCTGCTAATTTTGGGTTTAGTTTGTTTTCTTTTTTTTCAATTTCCTTGAGGTATAAAGTTAGGTTGCTGATTTTTGAGATCTTCTTTTTTTTTTTTTTAATGTAAATGTTTACTGGTGTAAACTTCCCTCTTTGTATGACTTTTGCTACATATCATACGTTTTAGTATTTTGTTGTTGTTGTTTTCATTTGTTTCTGGATTTTTTTCTAAATTCCCTTGTGATTTCTTCTTTGACCCGTTGGTTGTTTAGGGATGAGTTGTTTAATTTCCACACATTTGTGTATTTTCCGAGTTTAGTTTTCTGCTATTGACTTCTAGTTTCATTTTGTTGTAGTCAGAGAAGATACATTGCATAGTTTTAGTCTTCTTAAATCTGTTGGCGGGCGGCATTGGCTCACACCTGTAATCCCAACACTTTGGGAGGCTGAGGTGGGCAGGTCACTTGAGTTCAGGAGTTCAAGAGTTCAAGACCAGTCTGGGCAACATGACGAAATCCTGTCTCTACTAAAAATACAAAAAAATCACTGGGCATTGTGGTGCATACCTGTAGTTCCACCTACTTGGGAGTCTGAGGTGGGAGGATCAATTGAGCCCAGGAGATCGAGACTACAGTGAGCTTTGTGCCACTGCTCTCCAGCCTGGGTGCCAGAGTGAAAACCTGTCTTAAAAAAAAAAAAATTGGTGGCCGGGCGCGGTGGCTCAAGCCTGTAATCCCAGCACTTTGGGAGGCTGAGACGGGCGGATCACGAGGTCAGGAGAT